AATATTACATTACTTACTGATACAGAAACTGAAGGTTGGTAAAAATCATAAAAACAACCAATTGAGCTCTTAAATTAAGTAAATCCATTTATCATAAATAAAACTATTTATTATATATTTACCGTTGCGAGATTTTTAAAACCGACCTATAGAGGTAATAACATAAACAACATCATAATCTCATATTCAAGTGGTCAGAACAACAACTTTCCCTTTTTATTTACTTACTAGTATCTCTGGGGGTCCATAGGAATGTCTCATTACGCGTGAACCAATATCAAACTTTATCAACTAACTGGTAATTTCCATACCCGGTTCGGTATGAGCGCCAAAAATATCATCACTCAATATCCCGTCTAGTATGATGGTGAATTGGGTCGTTCCCATATTTCGTATGATATAAGCGTCAAAGATACCATTCCTTGATAACCCGTCCGATATGAGGTAACGTTCACGGTAGGGTTCTCTATGTACCCGGTTTGTTCACCATATCCTAAGATATCAAGTAAGAAAATCATTCACCCATTCACTTAACCAACAAATTTTGCATTTATATTTTAATTTTTAGTTTCGCAAATTAACCTCAAATCACCCAAAATAAGCAATACATGTATTAAGAAAACACAACCGAATTATTTTACCAATTTCAATATATTATCATGCATTTAAAACTGTAAAATCAAACAATCAGTTAAACAGGGCAAATAATAAATAACTAACCGGTTCCAGCTCTATTAGTAATATGTAATTATTTTTTATATTTTTTAAATTATACAAAATGTCATATTATCCATAATTAAACTTCAATTCTATAACAGAGAGTAAGATGATGGATTCTTACTCAAATCGGTATTCGAAATACCGAACTTTCTACCACGCTTACTGGCGGTCCCTCGAGTTTCCTGAATTTTTTTACGGAAATTAAAACACGTTTTACATACCTAAAAATACCTCAAAAATCCAAAATTGGTATTAAAATCCTTTTCCAGCCAATTTCGAGGTTTAGGCGCGGTGGCACCGCCATGCTCCGGTGACGGCACCGCTGCCCGCAGCGGTGGTTTGCCTCACCTAGTCGTTTTCTGCCTGTTTTGGCCAGTTTCGACCGGTTTTATACCCATCTCTGCGAGAAAATACGTTAGGAGGCATCGGTTGGTTGAAAAAAAAAATAATAAAAAATAGAAACCTACCGGCAGTGGAATTTTTCGATGCGGTGGCTCTGCCGCCTCACCTTTGCGACTGAGCATTTTTCTCGGTCAACCTGTAGAAAACATAACGATGAACACAACTGTGGAGAAATCGTACGAAACAGGAAACGAAAATAGGCTATTTGTTGGGCTTTGCCCACGATTTTCGGCTCACTCGCTATTTGTTTTGCTCCGATATGCCCACATGGGTGCTCGGAATCGAATTCTGAGCAGGTGGGAAAATTTTTACTCTTTTTGCGGTCAGATGTGGCTCCAGTGCGACAGCGGGCGGCGGTCGGCTCCCTTCTCCAGCGGCTAGCTCTTCTTCTCCGGCAGGGGGTTGGCGGCTAGGATTTGGGTTCTATGTGATGCAAAATATTTATACTCATCTCGCATTAATCTTGTCCGTTCATCGCGTTTAATCTCAACCATTTGATCGCATCTAAGGAAGAAATGAATCTAGACCGTTCATCGCTTTTGATCTCGATCGTCTGATCGCGCTTAAAGAGGAAACAAATCTGGACCGTTCATCGTGTTTGATCGTGATCGTCCGATCGTACCTGAAGAGAACACGGATCCAGACCGTGCACGCGCATGGGAAGACTTCTAGGTCGTTTGATCGCGGGGCACACGGATCGCCAGCGTTGCCTCCCGCGTGACACCGAATCAGCGTGTCTTGCCATGCGACGCACTCCGATTCGTCGAAACTGCTAACAGAGCGATCCTACGTAACAAAATTTTCTAAAATTATATTTTGGACCCAGTTTTCAATTTTTTTTTTCAAAAACACCATTCGAACTTAAACTTTCACTCATATTTTTCAAAAAATTTTTTAATTTCATCCCTATTTTTTTTTTCATAATTTCACATTAAATTTTTTTAATATTAAAATTAATTTCAAACTAAATTTCAGATCCGAACATTACAGAAAAAATACTTAATTATTAAAAATTTACATAAAAATTTAAGTGATACATTATTAATAATTTAAATTTAAATTTTTAAAATAAATAATTTGTATCTTAAAAGTTGTTAGGTTACTAAGAGTTGAAACCACTATCTCATAAAATGAGATTTGAAAAATTCAAAGCTTCCTCTGTTTTTTTTCTTGCCGTATCCCATCTCTATGTAAAGTTGGATGACATCCCAAAACACAATGATTTTAAAACATGAGAATGAATCTGTTAATTACGTGTAAAAGGTTATAATATTATACACTTTGCACACCTTCTAGGCTCTAGCTATGGTTTTGAACAACATACATATTACCATAACGTAAGTATTATACAAAATAATTTCTCCATAATCAGATTTCTCGGAAGCTAATGACAGCAAGGGCTGCACAGAGATAGCACTTCATTGTGGTCAATCGGCAAGGTGGCTGCAGCAATACAAGCTGGAACCTTCATTTACTCGCACAAAGCAGGAGTTTTCTACCTACCTGGTCGAATGCGGTGCCCTTGAAATGACGGACGTGTCTTTTTATTTTGAGAAGTATCGGATAAAGGTCTTAGAATGTCCTTTAGTGATGACAGGAGACCCTTCTGCAATGATTCTTCCAACATCTTATTGAGGAAATTATCGTGGATTACCTCTCCGCATATATGGATCCTAGCGTGCTGCTCGTTTCAATAATAACGAGTTGCCTTTAGACTATATTAAAATGTGGCTCATTCCGATTGTAACATCTGAGTAGTACTCGTTGAAATTCAGATAGTCCCAGAAAGGGGAAAGCCCAAACTCCCCATGTTTGGGTGATTTGAGATAGCATATATGCAATTCTTTGACGCTTCTATCAAACTTTTGCTTGATGGCCAGCACCTGAAAAGGAAATTTAGTTAGTTGGATGGTACTAGCAATTCTCCCAGCAAGGTTGTCTTTAAAAAGTTATGACACAAAGAGCTACTTAAAGCTTCGACCGTCAAATTGACAGAAATTATACAAGCAAACACTAGATGTATCCAATTATCGAGAACACAAAGAAACAGTGCTATAATGTTTGTTTGTAAACATTTTACATATCAGAATAACTGTCTTATCAATTCATTATAGGCCTTGTCAAATATAAGGCAGAATTCGAGCTTGTATAAGACAAGTATAATGTTAATTCCAGAATTATATGAGAATTACCTGGGATATGTTAATTCCAGAATTATGCAGAAAACCACTTTGATCGTCTCTTGTGTTCCGCATGCTTCCAATAAGACACAAACGAAAGTCTAGTGTGCACTGTAAAATGCTTTCAATTATGCTACCTACAGCCCGTGTCTCATCAGAAAGGAAGCATCTGTGAAATTTACAATAGTTGTCAACTAAATTTTAGGTTACAGAACGGTCAATTAAGATCACAAAAGTGCTTGGTAAAATACTGATAATGTCAAAGTATTGTACAGAAGTTAATCAGACAATTGAGAAAATTTTGGCATTCTACTGAAACCAGCTAAAAAGATACGAAAATGGAGAGGGATAGAGGTTCAATTGAAAGACAGAATGGCGGTGAACAGAGGAATTTATTAATCACTGACACAATGTCAACGGACCTACCTAAACTGTTGTTTTTTCATTAATTTTTTTTTGTAAATGTAATACCTTCCAGTATATTCGTTACAGGTTCTACCAATAGATGATGGGTTTGAAAATTTGTTCAATTTCAGTTGTTAAGAAAATAAGTGTAGCTCTAAGGCTACATTTGCTTCAAAATCTATTGAAAATAATTTTAAAAAAAGGTTGAAGATTTTATGGGGAAAAAAACAAATCCTAATATCATGTAGGTTGATTTGTTTTCTGCCTAGCCAAGAGAGAGTAAAAATCTATCAAAGTGAGAGGTAGAAATATATCAACATGGAATTTAATATGCTATTGAATTATTTCTGATTGTGAAAACTTAAAAACCAAAACTTAATGAATCCAATCCTACATATAAAGTAATTGAGTTCAATGAATAGATAGATAATATAATAGAAATGGAACCAAACAGGATGCAAATGTACTCTTGAACGCAATAATGTTCAGCATAAATTGAAAAAATTTGGAGAAGATACACATACTACAATATTTTGACGGTCCAAATGCATAAAATAATCAGAAGCCCACATTTGGCACTTGAGTGAGAGGGTAGGTAGGGTAGTTGGCCATGGTAGGACAGGATAGTGACAGGTAGGGTATAGTTCCCTGTGTATTTTGAATAACTGGGTGACTTGAGGAATATTGTAACACAAGCAAATATTATCTTTCTCATTGTAGGTTTGAGCATTAATAACTAACATTAATAAATTGACAATGTGTAAAGGATTGTTGAGAGAAACGTAAGAACACAGAAACTACTCACCAAAATACATTCTCCCTGCCCTTTATTCTCTCAATCTTTAGTTTCTTAAACTAACATTTTCCATGTTTCCCTCATTTGTTTTCTTTGTTGATTATTGTTTCTTTTATGTAAGACGGTGCCTTATCTTTCCTTCGTCTTTCTATTCTCTTTCCATCTTAATTGCATTTTTTTATTTAAAAAGGTTATGGCAAAAATAAAAAAAATCAAACATGGATGATTACATGATTTCAGTGATTACAACAATGAAAAGTAAGAAAATCCACAGAAAAAGGAAACAATTACCTGAATTCAAGCAAGCATCTTTGAGTTTTCACCTTTTGTGTGAAAGATGATTGGCGGGGAAAATATCAAATTTCTCAAAGAAATATGTTTGTGGACTTCTTAATTGTACAGAAAATGACATCTTGAATTTCGAAATAAGAATAAAAGTTTGAACTTACATGTATTTAGATTCTCTTAGATATGCCATATGCACTGCCTCAAGATCCATCATGTCTTTGACCTAGAAAACCACAGGAAACTAAAGATCAAGGCTGTTCTAGAGAATAAAAAATTATCCATCTTTGGTTTGAAAATACATAATGCCCATAACAAAGGAGCTATCAGAAAATATACTATTAACATAGAGAGATCATAAGCATATCAGTGACATTACACAAATTCATGTTTCTATAAGCATAATAACAACAAAACAGCGTTACAATATTTTTAGCAAGATTTTTACATGAAATGATTAAAAGTTATCTCCATTGAGATGTTAAAATAGTAAAAGAAGATACGAAAATAAAGCATATTATGAATTTTAAAAACAACTGAAATTTAGAAATGGCATCAAGTTTGTATTCTTCTGTTTCCACCTTCTAGAAAAGAATATTCATTCAACCAGGCAAAAAAGTACAAGGAAAATGAGAAGGGATTAAAATATACTTCTTAAAAAAATTAGTAAAAGGACATATATTTACTCTTGAAATTAGAACAACACAGTAAAATTAAAATAACTAGTTAATTACAAAAATTAAAATAACTTGAGCAAGACACACATGATATAGACTATAAAATTTGTCTCAGACCTTATGCTTAAGGGAGTGAAGGAACCTGCACCATGATACATGTGCTAATTGTGACTGAATATATTGCTGTAGTGCAGACACAAAATGATTGACCTGATGTCTGGTAAAAAGATAAACAGAAGATGATTATCACAATCACACATTTATAGATGGAAACTTAATTCTCATTCTATGTGGTTGAAACACATCAAGAATTTTCATAGAATTCATTTGATAATAACTAGGAACTTCATAAAGAATATCAAGTGGAATTGAAACAATATATTCTCAATGTATCAGTTTTAATACAATTTAATATGCATTTTTCTATTTCCAATTAAAATCACTTGGAGGTCATTTTTATTATCTCTGAATAGAACATTCATCCTTACAGAAATGTTAAATTTGATCAAAACACAGGCTTAAACACCAATAGGAGTTAGCAATCCTTAACATAAAGATTGCATTTTCCTGTTTTCCTCTCTACATTTCTCTACTTTGATAGCATCTTTAGATGGTGAGAGCAAATGTTTCATGTCTATCTTACACAGAGAAGAACCAATCAACTTTTTGTGTGATACATCCACTTCAAGATTCAGCCAGCAGTAGAAAGGAGATAGAGCTACAGGGTACTTCTCTAGTCCTCTCAAAATGTTAAATTTTCCAGAGCTCCCAAACCAGAGGTTTTAGAAGGAAAGGCTATAAATCTCTTTTTCTTTTTCTTTCTTTTGAAATAAAAGGAAAGGCTATAAACCTCTACAACTAACTTCTGTAAAATTTATAAAAATACATAATAAGCTGATTGAGGAACAAGATAATAATAATAAAATAAATACAACTAAATGTTTCAAATAACATGAAAACTCAAAAAGGTCCCTTTTACCTCAATTTCATCAATACATCAAAATGCCCAATTTCTCGTTCATGTGGTGCAGAATGATTGTCCTGCCCAATCAAATGCATATAAAGATAACGAAGGAGATTAAACCTCTCAAGACATACTTGACTGGATACTTTAAAATCCTATGATCCAAGTTTATAAATAATTTTCCGAAAGCCCAATAATCTATAGAAAATTAAGAAGGTTTCACCAAGTATAAGATCCAAATAAACAAGATCTCAAGCAGTAAAGAACTTTGAAAAGAGCAATAAGAAAAAGATGGTGTGTTTTGCATGGTTTGGTTTCTCATGAATATTTTCCAGACAAACTTTAGGTACAGTAGTTCCTTTTGTATGCCAGCAGAATACGGTACCCTGCATTTGGGTCATAGATATTGCCAAAGCTTTCTACCTGTGTGTTCAGAGATGCAAATGAGCCAAGCAGAGTCACACTTTCACTTTTTACAGGCTTGTAAGTTGTCTGCTGCAAACTGAAAATTCCATGCCAAACCACCAACTAGTTTGGTTTATTTTTTACTCTCCAAATCTTATTTTGGACAGGAAACTAAACCAAAATCCAGTCTATGTATAATTTTAGAAATTAATATATATACATCATAAACTATTAAATAGCTAAAAATATCTGCCCTGTTTGCTCATAACACCTAAAATAGATGTACACATCTTTGTTTTGGCTAAGTTGTATACATAACTTGATTATTTTACGAGAAATATTGTTTTAAGATATGTTATGATGAATGTAAGCTAACATTATAGAGTAGAAGTTAAAAAATACATAAAAAGTCTTCAAGCAAGCATGAAGTCTGCTTGTTGAATTTTTGTTCTTGATGGCCGATGATTGGGATTGTTGGACATAATACACGATATCTTAAAGAGTATTCTAATCTTTTAAGAATAACTGCCAGATCCTTTATTCACTATTAAGATGGATATTTATAAGGAGCATGCTCCTACGATTTAGGAAACTTAATGAGTTCCTGACTAGCCGAAAGAGTTTCTACAATTTACAACACTCAACAATTCCTAGTTAGTGGAAACTGAAATAACTAAAGCACTAATGTTTAGAAAATTCTACTATGAACTTCCTAATACTCCCGGCATCTTAACAAGCCACCTGTAATTTATAAGCTCTGATAGAATAAGATGAGCCAAACATATTTTAAAAGATTACCATGAAAGTGGCTGCATCTAACATCTAAGGAACCAAAATTAACCGAGATTTTGTACTCTCTGTATATAAATAAAAGAAGACATTTCCATGAAATCCATACCTTCAGGAAGCACCATATATCAGTCAATGAGAAAACTGCAAGCTTCACTTGAACCAGAAAACTAAATACATCAGAATACATTTCCAATGCAGCAGGAGTCAAAATAATATCGACTGGCCAATCCACACGATAACCCAAACCTAGAAAATTGAAGGAATCGACCCCTTCGATTGTTGACAAATTTAATCAGAAAAAGTCAGAATAAGTACTAAGAGGGCGGATCAACAGAGAAAAGTATCTAACAATGCAAAGGAAAAGATTGAAATATACCAATAGTAGACGTAGAAAGATGCATCATGCTATGTCCTTTCATGTACACAAATAACCTATCCTTGTAATTGTCCCATTCACACGATGACCTTTGAACAGATGAGTTAAGAAACCCTTGAATTTCTGCAATTCTCCTATCTGCCCCTGTAATAAGCCACTTCTGTGGTCCCAATTAAGAGAGATAAAAGGAGTAAGGAGAACAGTAGTTCTAGAAATCGAGGGATTTCAAGTTGCAAAGTATTCAGATGATAGTAGAAAGATATACATGACGCCAAAGAGACAAGATGAATAAATCTGCCCAGTCAGCTAATTCCATGAAATGATATCGCCGTAATGCCGACAGATGTTCTCGTAAGTCAAACCCTTCTTCAAGCAACTGGATAGCCAGCTTACTTACATAATTATATCTTAGGTTGTTAAGGTTCAAATACAAGTGAAATAACTCTATAATCAAAGATAGCCCCTTAGGAGAAGAGAACATTCAACAAAAATAACAAAACTTCAAAATAACGTTCTTGATCTTGTATCAATACATTTCATAAGTGGAAGGATACTGAAGCGATATTTCCTGCAGCAGGCATTTGTCAATGACAAAGTCAATTGGTATCTCAAACATGGCAGACAAAATTTGCCTGTGATCTTCACTGGTACTAGTTTCAAGGTTACCTGAACCACCCAGCAAGCCTTCCCAGCCACTTCCGCCGGAAACATTTTTTGACTCTGTATCTTCATCATTGTGGTCTTTTAAGTCTAAAGGTAAATGATTACAAAATACATTGGTATCTCTAATTAAGTCTTCCTCGTAGCACCTTGTGCCATGTCGATCACTTTTAGCACTAGTCATGAAAGCATTAGAGTCCTCAAACAATTCATATGCATCTTGAGCAGTCAGCTTTTTCAGATGCACTTTAGAGGGGTCATCTATAGTAGAAAAATCAAAGCAGGGTAAAGACTGTGCATAATTCCTGCAGACTGTCTCTCCAGGCTTTCCCATCAGGTTAAAGATAACACCTCTTGTTAGCATTGGATTCATACTAAAATAATTACGAAGGTACTTAAACTTCCATTTAGGCGATGCAAGTAAATCTAATGTTGAGGAATCATTTTCAAGTTGTTTTTTGTCTCGGTCCTCCTCTATGAAAACATTCTCAATTGCAGAATTTTTACTCAAAGATGACATTCCATTTTCAATAAACCCCACAAATATTTTCCCCACTTTAGGGACAGAGCCAGCGGAATGTACTCCAGGGTCGTTAAACCCTTCATCAACATGAAAAGGATTTCTGGAAAGGCCACCAAGAGGCCAGCACTTACCAGGTAGACTATCAGTATATTCAACATCTATACATGAACAATCCGACTCCTCTAATTCAGGGGGCATGGCTATGTTACTCAAAATTTCCTTATTTTTCTCAGATGGTATTAAGTGCTCATAAGCATCTGTTCCTTTGCAAACATCATTTGAATGTCTTTCTGTAGAGGACAGCTTCTCAATCGGAGGACACTTTTGCATTGAATTGTTGATGGGTGTGCTCATGGAGAAGCTTAAAGCTGATAGATAACTTTGTTTTGCCGAAGTAAAACTATTAGGAAACCCAAGCAGCTCTTCAGCTTCGATTTTCTCCTCAAAGCCATTTATCGATGAACATTCAGATGATTCAGATGCATCAGTATGGTCCTGCAATTCCACGTCACTAGCAGCACTGAAAATCAAAGAGTTTACAGTTAATGATTTATGTCAATGTAATTAACATACTCGGAGAAGAAAATTTACACACACATATATATATATATAAAATTCACATTTATAATGAAAGAGAAACAAGAAGTATGAAATTGAATTCCTTTCAGCTATAAGGAAAAATCAACCTGCAGTTTGGTGTGAATGAAACTGAATCGTCCAAACCATCTCCATAACTGCCAGAAAGAATGGGTACAGTGTGCTCAGTAACCTGAAAATAAATTATGATGTATAATAAGGAACGAGCCAACAACAAGCAATACAAGAAAACCGACAGGCCCATCACCTATTGACCATGGTGACTGGGTTAACTTTTGCTAACACCATGTTAACCATAAAGAATGCTTCCACTAACAAAAAATATGAGTGATAAAGAGAAGGCAGAATGAGCCACAAACTTAAGGAGTACATTAAAATTGTCATAGACTATGAGGGTATGGAAACATTCAAGTAAAAGTTAATAAGTTGTTTCTCCAACCAAAAAGAAAAAGCTACATAAATTTAACAAGTAAAAACTACAACCGATAATGAGTAATATTAGAAGAACCAGGATCAAGTATGAGATACCTGTCCACAACAGAACTTCAACTTTCTCAGAAGATTTTCAAATTTTTCTTGCATTGTATTGTAATAACTTTTCCTTGCAAGTACAAGTCCTTCTATAGACCCTTTGCTGAAAGTCATTGCAGATGCATAAAATAGGTTATTGCTTAAAATACCAGTCCAACATGGAAGAAGATCTGTGTAACTAAAGACCTCAGTGGCAGCATAATTACACAATTCAAGCAACTTTATTAGTACTTGAAGCTGCTGCCCAGCCCTGATAAGTGGAGTCAAAGAGTCCTTCAAGAAACAAGGAACAGCAGCACCATCTCGTTCCTGAAGTGAAGAGTTGCCAACTATAAAGATCAACATTTGAAAGACATTAAAAGTGTAGCTACACAGAACCCAGTCTTTGAACATATTGATTATGGTACAACAAGCCATACCTTAACACTTGCCAATGGAGAGATGCCAGCCTTATTATGTGAACAAGGTGGTAAATCATCAGCAAATTCCACTATAAACTCCTTGTGAGGATCACTAATTTCAGCTTTGAATATCCATGATCTTATAAACATGCAATATGGTTCACATGATCGAAGAAAGAGAAACTTCAATAAAGCAAGCTGAGCAGGGTCAGCAACCTACAAAAAGATAAAATAATATAAATCCCAAGAAACATCCATGAATAGGACTATAAGAAATGACATGAAAACAAGTCCATACAATTTACACAACAGAATATCCAGTATTTGAGAGAAATAAAGAAGATTTCCAAGAATTTGTAATTTGAATTATTCAATCACCAGAGCACAGTAATGTATGGCCAAAGGTTATGCTAAATCAAAAAATAGATGCAAAAATTAGGATGACAATCAAGAATTCTTTTCTTTTGGTCTACCAATTAAAAACTTTTGTATTTCTTTTCGGAGAAATGGCCGTGGACCATTTGAGAAGAGTATTTCAGTCATTTGTACTCCTCAAACCCATAAAAGTTTCAATTTTTTCAAAAATTTGCACATCCATGACAACAGAAAATAGTATCAAAAGTTTATGAAACCCGCGAGCATAACAATTTATATCTATGTGACCAACATTCTTAGCAAGTAGGACTACTATATACCAGAAGAATAATGCAAAAGAACAAAGAAGGCAAGAAAATAGAAAGAAACTTCATTTTATGCCAACCTTTAGCTGCAAATACAAATAAGTAAGCAGATCTCCTCCGCTATAGAAATTAAAAATCTCTGAAGTTCCTTTTGCAACTAGATCTTCAAAAGAATATATGGAGAAGCAAAGAGCTATGTGGTGCAGCTTGCATATATTTCCAAGGGCTTCAATCTGTGTCCTCAATTCCTTGCTGTGCAGGTACACTTCCAACAAAGTAAGTTCAGAATGCACCACATTTGTGAGACAACCTAACCCAGTAGACGAAGCCAAGGACAAGTCAATTTTCTTTGCTGAGCACCTCAGACATACTGATGCACATAATGTATCCAGCGCACATGTGTACCCTTCTAAAACCTTTCCAACAGCAACGGCGAATGCCTGATTAACAAGACATTTCTGCTCCTGGTGTTCACCGTCACAATGACTTCCTTCCAACTCATGATTTTCCTGTCTCTTCCTTACCAATTTTTCATCAAAATTTAAGTTGGTAAAATAATCTACAAATTTATGAAGAAGAAAAACCAAGGTGCCTGAACGACCTATCGATTTGAGAATCTTTCCTAAAGCATGAGTGCTGGATGACCGATTCCACAGACTCCGTATTTGATGAAACGTCCTGTCAGCAGGATCAGAACAGAAAGCAGTAGAGAACTTTTCAATACTAATAAGAGACGACTCCACCCCTTGCAGTGCAGTCAGTGCCAGCCTCACCAAACTCTTTTCCTATAAAAGGTTCCAACAGTTAAGAAAATATGTTTCCGCTCAAAATTTTAAAAAGAGAAGCAATGCAAGCTCAATTAAAATAAGTACTAGCTGAAATAAAATTGGACAAATGGATATGGCATTTATGTCACTGGAACCATATTGTGTACCCTATTGATCAAACACATTAACCTCACCCTATTTCATCTCTTTCCAAGAAATACATGTATGAACTAAAGAAAGCGTGAGAAATCAAACCCAAATAACCAAAATAGTATGGAACTTACATATTTCTTTAGTTTTATGATATGTTGGGGAAAAATGAATAATTTTTGTTTAGTTGCAAATCTTCAATTAGTTCAAACATAAAAATACGAAAGTTCAATTTTAAAATTAAATTCTAAACAGAATTAAAATAACATACTACAGACTATCAAAATTTATGAAATCTGAAAATAAATAGTGATGATCTAAAAGAGAAGTTGGTTCATTTATCTGGTTCTATCTTCACCAAAAAATTTCAGGTATCTTAGATGAAGATGAATCCACAAAACTAAAATTTATGGATTCCACAAAAGTAATTGATTAGTTCTAAACATACCCCTGAAGTATAATTAATAAACTAGAAACAAAAATAACTTCTCTACTTCCTCTTTGATATTTTCTCTGACAAGCTGATGCAAATTCATTGTAATTTTTCAACTTCAAATATAACAAGAATCACATCCTACTAACTTACCTCATATGAAACGATTGGCAACATGCAATTATCAAACGTTACACCAAACATATACAAGTCTCTGAGCTACCTCAGAAACTAGGTTTTGCTTTAGTAATATCAGGATAACTAAAATTTCACAAAAGGATAGAAGTAACACTTCTTTCCTTCTTTTACCTAATTTGTCGGTAATGCAGACTGATCTAATTACTGAACCAATAATTCAGCTTTCAGAAGTTACATCATCGATAATCAAAGTTCACTACACCTATAGGTCCAGGTCCGGTTGATGAAGTCATGCACTGAATCAAATTAACTCAATCAAAGAAGCAAAGAATAAGAGTCACTCAGTTAGAAACTGAATTATGTCGGTAATGCAGATTAATCTAATTACTGAACCAATAATTCAGAATACATCAGCTTTCAGAAGTTACATCGTCGATAATCAAAGTTCACTACACCTATAGGTCCAGGTCCAGGTGATTTAATCATGCACTAAACCGAATTAACTCAATCAAAGAAGTAAAAAGCACTGGTTATCTAACCGAACCCATGAAACATAATTCACCTAAATTTTATCCCCAAAAAAAATAGAGATGAAAGAAAAGGTAATAAACTTAAGAAAAACGCAAATGCGACGGAAAAGACCGAGGCATAGCCATAGATAGCCATAAATGAACATGCGAATGCAGGTGTGATAGTGTAAACGTGGACTTACAGAGACTGAGGAAGAAGACGGAAGGGGAGAGGAGAAGCGAGAAGGAGGAGGAGCTCCGCTTTCGGAAGGAATAGATTCCCACGTTCTGGGAGGAAGAAGCAAATGATCTTCCATTTTTAGCCTCTCTAACAGTGATGATAGATTCGTATCCACCGCCATTTTCACTCTGCTCCTCCCTCTTCCCTCCTCTTCACAGCTTTTCTCTTTTTCCTTTTTATTCCCTCTCAGTTATTCGAAATCTGACCATCTATTTATGTTGGTCTTTTAAATAATTATTTATTTATAAATATAATATCAATTTAATTTTATTTTATTATATTATATTTTAGTGAGTTAAAAATTAAATTGTATTTTATATTTAAAAATTTTTAAATAGAAAATTATTATAAATATTATCATCTTAATTCTATTTTACATGTTAAATAAATTATCACTTTAACTAAAAATTTGTAGATAATTATTTTATATATTTATAATCAATTAAAATTATTTAAAAAATAATAATAAGTATCACTTTAATTTTATTTTTATATTAAAAATTTAACAAATAATTATTATATATTATCATTTTTATTTTTTAAAATTTATTACGAAAATTCAAAAAAAAATACTATAATATTTTTTAAGAACAGTCCCAAATGATTGTATCAAAACTCTAATCGTGTACACAATTTATCTATATAATTGCGTATTTAATGTGTTACAATATAATTTATTTTAAAAATCGGAGTATTTCAGTCATTTGCATTCTCAGTTATAAAAATCGGAGTGCGATTAAAGTTTTTTTTTATTTTCTCCTGGTGTTCTTTATGTCTTACACAATCCACTATCGGAGAAGTTAAATCTAACTCTTGTCGTTCTACGGAAATTACATTAATTATTAGTTCAATAAGATATTCTCAATCTCTTCTCCATCTCACCATTTTTGAATCTGTACTATGATTCCATTTTAATTTTCGTATATTAAATTTCAAACTTAAAAATTCTTTCTCGATATCATATATTACTGAAAGGGTAGTCATTGGATCAGTTGACGATGTAATTTATTCATATATTGCTTTCTCTCTATATATATACACCAGATTTGAAGCTTTCAATTTATGTTAAGAAGTTATAGTAATTTGGTACTCTATAAATTATACATAATCCGATGTAATTCGCAATATTACATATGAGATGTTATAGCAACTGATACTTTATGAATTATATATAATCCGATTTAATTAACGAGACTATATATGAGATATACTATATATGTAACAACTTTCTAATTTTTTTTTTCTCAGGTGCAAGTTTCGAACGTTCTCGAAACCCTTTACTTTTCGAATTTTTCTTTTCTAGATAAAAAAATTAATCTAAATTTTTTTTTTTAAAAAAAAAAAAAAAACATGAAAATTTTTCGGTTCCAACAAGGAATCAATTTGGTTTTTGCATGTAAACGAAGTGATTCCAAATAACATAATTAGAGCACATATTCCAAGCCTTCAAATAACAAAAAGCCTAAACCTAAAGAAGAAGTAAAAAGCATAACCCTTAAGGCTCCTTTGATTCCCACTTCATGCATGTATACTTGTGTGTATACACATACATACATTCATACATACATACATATATATAACATGATCAAAGGACTCAAGAACCATCATTTTCACAGCTTGAGGATAGAAAGTGTAAAGATCAGAAGCAGAAACTTTAAAGAGTAACAATGGAGAAGAACCAAGCTGCTGGTGCCGGAGAACGTGTGTACGAAGACATCGAACCAGTCGCTGAATGGGTTTCCGAGCCCGAATTCGACACCCTTATCGTCTACCTACCGGGTAATTCGACTAGGATACTTCAAATTCTATTTTTTTTTTTTAATAAAAAATTTTGGTACATTTTATATCAATTCATAATGTTTTAACAAAAATTTATAATTGTATAAAAATATTATATACAAGATAATAATAATTTTACGAAAATTTAAGATACAAAATTGTGGTAATTATGAATGTAATTTATATATAACAGGTTTCAAAAAGGAACAACTGAAGGTTCAAATGACCTCAACACATAAGTTGAGAGTTCTTGGGGAAAGACCAGTTGGGAGTGAAGATACCAAATGGATTAGATTCCGTAAGGAATTCCCTATTTCCCCAAACTACGACACCAACAACATCATCGCACGATTTGAAGGTGGGACCCTTTTCATCAAGCATCCCAAAATCAAGATCACATCAACGGCTGATAATAATAAGATCAACGGTGATCCTCGTCAACAGATTCCTGCACCTTCTGTATCGAATCAGAACTCGAAAACTCATGGCAATGCACAAACTCAACCCAGTACCGTAAATGAAAAGGAGAAGAAGACGACTCAGCAAACCAAAACCCAGAAAGCTAAAGAAAAAGCTCCGAAGACTTCAATGGCGATGGAGGAGAAACCGAGAAAAGATTCTGATCAGAAAGGTTCTGATAGGAAATATCAGGAGAATGATCAGAAGGGAATCGTGGGTTCTAATGGAAAAGAGCAGAGAAAGGAGAAAACCGCTCAAAGTTTCAAATCCAAGAACGAACAAGAACAGACTTCAAAGACCAGTATGGCCACGGAGGATGATCAGAAACCAGGAAAAACTGATCATGATGCTCCGAAGGAAAAATCTGACGTGGGTTCTGACGATGGTAAGCATGAGAATCAGAAGGTGACGGGGAATGAAAAAGGAAAGAGTACGGCCATTGATTCTGCAAGAAGTAGTGAGATTAACGGAAGGTCTAAGTTGAAGATGAAGGATGGAACAACTAGGGTTTTGCTTTGGGCGAGGGAGAGGAAGAACGGAAGGGAAGTGATGAATCTGGTTGTGGCTGTTTTATTGATAATGGTGATGGGGATATATGCTTGGAATGCTTTCAAGTCCATTCCAAAATCCGAAAATAATTAGTTTGTAAAGTTCTTCACCAGTTCATACAAGTTGCATTTTGCAAATATATATATATATATATATATATACACATACATACATATATATATATGTATATTTCAATAAAGAGTTTTATCCTATAATTTCTGCCGATAAATATCTGTCTAATGTTTCCCTTTTTCCAAGTAATTTGGTTCCATAAAATCCAGTATAATTGTCAGAAGCTATTACAATTATTATTAATTGCACGAGCAACCATCAACGGGGTGGTGGCGCAGTTGGCTAGCGCGTAGGTCTCATAGCTAAGAGTGATCCTGAGGTCGAGAGTTCGAGCCTCTCTCACCCCAATCATCTTTTTGTCTTATTATTGTCGGTCTTGGTTTAATCCCCCCACCTGTCACACTTATTTTTTATAATTTAATTTATATTATTTTTTATTAACTATGATCATGAAAATATTACATAAAAATAATATGTTAATATTAATTATAAATATATATAATGTAATGATAAAACTTTATATACTAGTATCTATTTAAATTTTAAAATAAAAAATAAAATTAATATAATAATATATATCATATCAGTCTATTTAAAAATTTGAAGTACAAGAATAGAATTTGATTTTCAATTAACTACAAATCATACACTATATAATTTTTAAACTTAAAAAATTTGATTATATACATAATAATCATCATCTATTCAAATTTAGATGAAAATTTTAATTTTTAGTTAATTATAAATTATACACTATAATTAATTTTTATGCATATTATATTTCCACAAATCGAATGAATTTTGGATGTTTAATTATCCTAATTGCATTAACGTTGTAAATCCAAATCAATCAGAAACCATTCTTCAAATTAAATTTTTTTAAAAAAATTCCAACAGAAACACAGCATATTGTAAAGAAACTTCTCTCAACAAAAACCCGACGTTATTAGAGATTTCACAGAGAGTCGCCGTGACCAGAGTTTTTTGCGGAACAACTTTATGTTGCTTTCTCATTTAGCGTTTGCCAGTTCGGTACGAATGAGCTTGGCAGCTGCAACCATGTTGCTGAGAGCAGGCTTGACTTCAGTGTACTTGCGAGTCTTGAGGCCGCAATCAGGGTTGACCCAGAGGATGTTAGTTTCAAGAACAGCAAGCATTTTGTTGATTCGGTCAGCAATTTCTTCCGTTGATGGAATTCTAGGCGAGTGAATGTCGTACACACCGGGACCAATCCCAGCACCATACTTCACTCCCTCCCTGAATACAGAAAGAAGCTTCTCGTCTGATCGGGAGTTCTCGATGGTGATCACATCAGCATCCATATTGATGATTGAGTGAATGATATCGTTGAAGTTTGAGTAGCACATATGGGTGTGGATCTGTTCAAGACATTTACTGTTTGATTACTACCCAATAATTTATAGAGTAATACTAAATTTACAAAGATTTATACAAGGAAAAAAGATCAGTTATAAAATAGTTTGACAGCAGAGACGGATAGTCAATATTCCGTAAACTAAATTTTTTCCTACGCAAGTCAACTACCATGCCAGCTAATGAAAAGATATGTGTAAAAGCCTTTAAAGCTGCAACTGCAATTAGCATTTGTACCTGAGTGGTGTTCTTGACACCACAATTTGTAATTCGGAAGGAGTGAACAGCCCAATCCAGGTAGAAAGCCTGCTCGGATTTCCTAAGGGGCAATCCTTCTCTCAAAGCAGCCTCGTCAATCTGGATAACAGTAATACCAGCCTTCTCAAGATCCTCAACCTCATCCTTAATTGCCAATGCAATCTGATAGCAAGTCTCATGTCTGATATAGGCCCAACAAATGTTAAAAACTAAATCCCAGTTCCTGAAAATTATGAAATCAATTTGGCCTTACTTCATTACCTAGGTTGATCATTTCTCACAAATGACCAGTTCAGAATCGTGACTGGACCGGTGAGCATGCCCTTCATAGGTCGTTTGGTCATGCTTTGGGCCATGGAAGACCAGAAAACAGTCATAGCCTTTGGCCTACTGACATCACCATAGATGATGGGAGGCTTAACACAACGAGATCCATAAGATTGGACCCATCCGTTCACGGTGAAGGCAAAGCCAGACAACTGCTCACCAAAGTACTCAACCATATCGTTTCTCTGAGAAGGCAAGACATTTGGGAAAAATTCAGGAGAATGAAGGCAAGAAAACATAGAGAGCTATTCCTTTTGTTCCCCAGTTTTTTCAGGTGGAAACTCACCTCTGGTTCCCCGTGCACCAAAACATCAATGTCAAGCTCTTCCTGGATCTGAACAACTTTGCGAATTTCCTCCTTGATGGCCTTGACATAATCATCTTCAGAAATTCTGATAACATAACACCGTAATAAGTGTATATGATATGTTACGTCCACATATCATTATAAAGTCGGACAACACCGTCAAGAGAAAGAACAATTACTTCTTAGCCTTGTACTCCCTGCGCACTCTTCTGAGATCCATGGTCTGTGGGAAAGATCCAATGGTGGTTGTTGGAAGAATTGGAAGGTTCAACTCCTTCTGCTGGGCCTCTAGTCTGGCACTTACATTTGTGGCACGGCGGTGATCAGAATCCTTCAAAGCAGCAGCCTAAACAAGAAAGAGCGATGATTCCAGTATGAGCGGGAAGGAACTGAATTGAATGATAAAAATTGCAGTAATTAATTTCTGAAAATTACGTACAGCTTCCTGGACAGCCTCGTTAGTCACCCTTGGGGAGGATTTTCTTGAGGCATGAGCTGTAGAATTAGAAGCAAAAAAGGCCTGGAGAAGAAAGAATAGGAAAAAAGCTGCTTAGAAGTATCAAAGAGAAAGCCAGTAATTTGAAAGATGATCAATTCTCTAGTATTTAGATCTGAAATACAACACGAACAGTCAAGACATTCATATTAGCACACGTCATCTACAAATACACACACACATAAATACAGGTACTATGTATTTATGCATGATCATCTACAAATGTTGTTATTTTAAGAAATACAGACTCTGTCTGTTGCAAGAAAATGTTTTCTAGCTTTTATTTGCTAAGCTTATATGCATTTATGCATGCCTTTATTTATTGAAATATGTAAAAGTTGAATATTTGTAAAATATAAAGAAAAAAAAAAAAGGTTTCTAGAAAATGTTAACGACAACACTTCAACTTTTTATTTTTATCATAATTTTCACTATTGTTCTCTTTATTGTTAAGTAATTTATATAATTTTGTTAATGAAACACAGATTTAGAAAAATAAATACTAAAAAATGTTTTTTTGTACAATTGCAGCTGAATTTCTGGAATATAAATGAGTACACAAATTGATAAAGAGCTATTGTTTACTTCGTGCAATGTGGAAAAATAAGTTCCACAAGACTCTTTTGAATCCTACTTTTTAGATCTGAATGCTAGAAAGTAACATATAGATGCGTAAAGAAATACCTCATCCTTGTTCCCACATAATGCCCTGGCAAGAGCATTCACTTCAAGTACTTTTTGAGCAGCAAATGCAAGCCAGGACTTCAGCTCTTTGTCTAACTTGGTCTCATTAGATAGGTCCACTGCAGTGTGGAGTAGAGAGCAAGAAGTAGAGACCACAAGTTTGTCTACAAAAGGACAGGGATAGCACTCTGTAAATTTCACGCAAGAAAAAGAAAAAGGATCACAATCAGAAAAGATTATATTTAACATTTTATTACCTTTTCCAACAATGTCCTCTAGAGTTTTCAGATCACGGAGCGAGGAAGAAAGATTATTAGCCCAAACGTTTCTTCCATCAACTACTCCGGCAAAAAGGTATTTGCCCGATGGAAATCCAGCCTTTATTAATTCAAGGGTCTTTGTTCCACGAACTAAGTCAAATCCAAACCCACTAACACCCTTTAAAGAGGTTAGTATTTTAAATGCCTCAGAAGGAACATCAGCAAAGTATGTCTCAATAAGAACATTCAAACCAGATAAAGATGACTCAAGCTGTGAGTATGCATGACTAAATGCCTGCAATTGGTGGGCATCAAGATCCATCACAAGGGTAGGCTCATCAAACTGAATCCAGGATGCACCAGCCCCCTTCAGTTCGGCCATAACTTCCCTGCCAGGCAGTACTCATTAATGCCAATCACCAAGATATATACACCAACAAGCTATACAGTATGTGCAAGTGATTCGAATTCTACCCTAACCTATAGTTTGCTGATATATCAAAAAATGCTTAAGGGGAAAAACAAAAGAAAGAAGCTCCTTACTTGTAGACTGGAAGAATCTTGTCAATCAGGGAAAGAAGAGAAAAGGATTTCTCAACACCTTTTGCTGGTTTTGAGAGTATCAAATAAGATACAGGACCAATAAGTACAGGGACAGTATCAACTCCAAGCTGTAAAACAGAGCAGTTAAAAGACCATTAGTTAATCAAGAGACTGGTATAAAAATAACAATGTAATAACAGGAATCAGAAAACAAAGAATGATTTTCAACGCTGTATCAGATTATTAAAGGCTCCATAAATTGAACCATTTGAACTTTATGTAAGAAATAACCGTCTAAAATATCATCCTAGAAAAGACATAGACTTGAGTTGCTTAGAAGATACAACAGATTATGTTGTGTCCAGTAATTAAGAATTACCAATAATTCTCTCAATCTTGAAATAGAAAATAACTGCCTGAAATATAATCCTAGTGAAGATATAGACTCAAGGTCTTTGGAAGCTATAATCTATAGGAGGATCATTATGATTTCGTTTGGATTCCATTATCAGTTATGTTGTTATAAGAAGAAGATCATGATCAGCCTGTTTTCTTCTTCACAGTTGCTTCAGCTTCATGTACATTTCATATTTTATCCAGGCTTCAGGCATTTATGAGAAGCTCAAAACTCTAATTGACCATCAAGGTATAAAGAGTTTCAAAAAATAGAAATGAAGAGAAAAATAAGAATAGAAATGAGCTCTCTTTCAAGAAGCATCAGTAGAAATGAAATCTAGAAAGCTTACAGATTTGGCTTCCTTGAATTCGTTGACAGCCTTGTGAGAAGCATAACAGAACTTGACATCTGGGCCCAACTCAGGAACAATGTAATGGCTATACCGAAAAAAGATTTGCATTGATCATTAGAGTAACAATAGCCAAATTTCTAAACTTGCTCAAAACATGAAGGAGGAGAATTAATCACTTACTAGTTGGTATCAAACCACTTGGTCATTTCCATAGCAGGTACAGAAGCGTTGCCCCTAGCCATTGAGAAATAAACATCGAACCCAATTTCATCACCTTTCCAACCATACCTTGGGGGCACAGCACCAAGCATTGTCGTGGCATCCAACACTTGGTCATAGTATGAAAAAGTGTTGCTAGGAATATACTTAATTCCAGCATCAACCATCTGCTTCCAAATGGATGCCCTCAGATCAGCTGCCACCTTTTGCAATTCCTCTGCGCTGCTTTTTCCATCCCAGAAGGATTCCAAGGCAAACTTGAGCTCTCTCTTGGGCCCCATGCGAGGATAGCCAACAATGTGGGAAGCCATTGCTCTATCATCCCATATGCACAATGACAAAGCTTAGACTCCATACATGATTAATACACAATTTAATGCATTTCTTTTCTCTTTTGTATTCAAGTTTACAACTAACAGAAGTAAGAACCAGCAAAAATTGTAGCCATGAAAACATGACACGAAGGAAATGAGCCCATCAGTTTATTAGAAGCCATCCAATCAACAGGCAGAAAAGCAAGCAAATAAATGAAACGGAATTTCCTAATTGACGTTAAAAAATTATTCAAATTAATTAACCTGTAAGCAGCTTTCAGAAATACTAAACAATAGTCAGATTAAAAGAATGTAACAAATCCAAACTGAAGTTTTAAGTTAGTAATTAGAAATTAACCAAAAAATGAGATAAAGTAGGAAATAAAAAATTGCCGGGAAACTGAGAGTACATTGAAATAATTTGGTGCAAATAAAAAAAAAAACCAGCAACTGATCTGCCATTCCAACACGTCAGAGCTACTGAAGTAAAAGCATCAACCACATGGCATGTGTCCTCACCAAACGGAAAACATAAGCGAAAAGCAATATCTACAACCATCGACAGTTGAATCAGGCAAAATAAGCTCGCCAGACTAACTCTATATCATATTAAGTGAAACTTCAAATTCTCTATATCTATCATGAAACAAACCAAAATAAAATCAATCCACCACCACGAGACCAACAAAACAACGTAAAATCACTGATCAAATAGTACGAGACAATAGCATCGCTGAACACAAAACATTCATTTCCATTTCCTCCCGTTCTGTCAACCAAACAATAAAATACACGCAGCACAGCGAACAAAAACGAAAACAAAAGCGCGGCATCAGTATCAGATCCATTAACAAGCGGTGTTAGCAAGCGCTGATCGATTCTTCACTAATCAATCAGTGGAAGAAATGAGGAGACGCAGATTAATAGAATTCGAACTAACAAAACAACGATAAAGAGATAATCAGAGGTACCTCGCGCGAATACTGAAGCTTCGGAAGGAAACACGTTTTGAGGAGAGAGTGAAGAAGGACGGAGGGTTTAGCGACGGGAAGAGGACGAGGTGGCGAAGAGAGACTCGGCTCATTTATATAGTGTTTGCTGGCTACAGCAGCGGCCTCGTTCTGATTTAGATTTAATCCGACGACTCCTGCATTTCCATTTTCTTTTTCCTTTTCTCGCGTACTGAAATTTTATTATAATATTAAATTGTAAATTAAAAAAATATATATATGAAAGTTCAACTTCTAAGGTTATACATAATATATAATAAAAATAAAAATAAATTATTAAATTAATTCTCAAAATTTAACATTTACAATATTTTATATTTTATTTTTTTATAAATTTGATTTTTAATATAAATGTTTATTTTTTTTAATTTTATCAGAAAAAAAAAGATTAAAATAGTTAGATAATATTTAAATATTTTTAAAAAATATAAAATAAATTTAACTAGTTAATTAAATTAATATATTAATAATAACAAAATATAACATTTTTACTAAATTAATTTGTAAAATAATTAAATATAATTTAATAATTTAATTATTTTATTAAAAATAGAAGTAAAATTAGTGTTCAAAAAATAAAAAATGTAAAAAATTAAATTATAACGAAAAAATATTAAAAATTGAATTATAATAAGTGTCATATATAAATAATTAATTTAATATTTTAAAATAAAAATAAAATATTTTAATATTATTTTTTAACTGTAACGAATGTTAATACTTTTACGTATTTTTATTTTATGAAAATATGAACAGTGCGTTATTATTAAAGAGTTATATAGTATGATATTATTATTATTATTTAATTACCTACAAAAATTAATAAATTTTCACTAAAATTTATATACATACATATATATATATATTTATATATATATATACCCACTAAGATATCACTTTCTAAATTTGACATGGTTGAAAGTAGGTGACTATAATTACATATAACTTTTTTTCAAATTATATGAGTGAATCAAAACTTAGTCTTAGAAACCAAGATTGATAAGTAGGTGATGGGTGTATGAAAAGAGTCTCTTACTCACCCACCTTACTTGTGATTGCACTCTCTTGCTTCTTCAAACAAAATAGGTGACTACAATGACATATAATTTTTTCAAATTAAATTTAAATGAAAATAAAAATATGATAAATAAATTAATAAAAAGTTTTTATTTATTAATTTAAATGTTTCCTCAATTTAATTATTGGTTTATATATATATTAAATAATAAGAGAACTTAAATTTTTAACCAATTTCATTATTTAAATTTATTTAAAATGGGTTATTTCAATTTGATTGATTTTGGTTTTAAATTTTTGATTTCTTGACCAAATTAAATTAACTACGCCCGACCACCGATCGATTAAGTAGGTTTTCATGACTATAAATTATTGTAAGTTTTATTAATAATACGGTGTTCTGTTAGTTAAAATTTTTGTGTTTTATTTAAAAATTATGAGTTCAAATATTAAAAAAAATGTTAATTTCGTCACTTTGTGAACGTATTATGAGTTTTATTTATGTGTTTATCAATTTAACTATTGGTTTATGTATATAAAATAAATTTTTAAAAAAGAAAACCTTAAAAATCGACCAATTTCATTATTTAAATTTATTTAAACCGGTTGAATTTTATTGGTCAATTAGTGTTTATTGATTTGTATCTCTTTTTGAAATGAATTAATCCGACTGACTAATTAAATAGGCTTTCGTGACTATAAATTATTGTAAGTTTTATTAACAATAAGATATTCTATTAATTAAATTTTTTACGTTTTATTTAAAAATTACGAGTTCAAATATAAAAAAGATGTTAATTTTGTCATTTTGCGAGTGTATTATGATTTACAACAACCTGTCTTAACGAGTTTTTAATGTTTCAAATGAAAGAACGTATTGATCCGACTAATTGGTTAAGTAGGCTTTCATGATTATAAATTATTGTAAGTTTTATTAACAATACAGTATTCCGTCAGTTAAAATTTTTTCTATTTTATTTAAAAATTACGAATTCAAATATCAAAAAAAATATTAATTTCGCCACTTTGTGAATTTATTATGAATTTGTAGCAACCGTCTTAACGAGCTTTTAATGTTTTAAATAAAAGAACATCTATAACGGTTAAATTCTCTTAAATGAAATAATTACACCAGGTAAAAATCCATTCATTTCCACCTAACACCCAATTCACCCAACTGTAGTTTGATGACTTAGAATAGTATATATGTAATGGCCCCGGAAATTTAAAATGAAATATGTGTATTAAAAAAGTCAAATGAGGAAACGTAATAAAAATTTTGATTAAACATCTCTTACACTAAAACTAAAAACGTGCTCAAAGTATAAAAGAACAAACTAACTAAAAGAGAAACTCGAAAATAAAAGATATAAATATGACTACGGAATCTTCAGGCGTCCCCTTCGCCGTCTTCCTGCGGAACGGGCTCGGGAACAATGTCTTCCTGATCTGAAATGATTAAATAAGGAATGAGCTACAACAGCCCAGTAAAGACATCACACTATCTCACCGTCACGGAGGTAAAGGTGGGTAGAAAACACAAAAAGACCAATGGAGCATAGTTTACAACAAATTCTTTTTATCAATAATAAAATCTTTTACTATCCACTTACCTCGGTGAAATTCATAAAACAATATACGAAAGCAATAATATTATCATCATCATGAAATCATAAGAACTGTATAACAGAATACTTATCACGCCTTTTGCATCTCAATCATTACACAACATATTTTTCCTTATTTACCAGCCTACTAGTATCCATGGGGATCCATAGGGGTCTCGCTACCCGTGACCCTTTAACACTTGTAATCAGATTCCAGGGTCGTCCCCATGCCCCGTCCGGTATGGGCACCAAAACTATAAACCTCAATACCCCGTCCGGTATGAGGGTGAAACGGGTCGTCCCCATACCCCGTCCGGTATAGGCGCCAAAACACATAAGGTCTCCATACCCCGTCCGGTATGAGACCACAATCCCGGTAGGGTTCCCTACGGACCCGGTCCGTCCACCATCTCCCAGGATATCTAGTCAGGCTGACCACATTATACAATTATCAATTTACATAACCTTTCATTCTCCTTTTCCTCAGTCAGCATCATCAAATCACACACAAACAAGCAACCAGTAATTCATGTCAAATAAGCTAACATACAACATCGGGTTCTCAGTCATTCAACCCATAATCAATAAAATAGTGATATATGCACACGAAACTATGAAATGAAAACATCAGACCTTATACTGCACTTAAAACCATAAAATACGCCAAACAACAGCTAACTGACAAACACACCAAACTCAGGCTCCATTAGCGACCTTAAACAATTTCACACATCTATTGATTCATGAAATACCGTTTTATCATTTATTGAACTTTAATACCGTGATAGGAAATAGGGTGAAGGGTCCTTACTTGTTTCGGGGCCCGAATACGGCTCTACAGTGCGCCTACAGGCTGTCCCTAATTTTTCATGAATTCTTCCCGGGGAACTGAAACGCACTACTGCTACCTGCACGTGTCCCAAAAAATTCCAAATTAGACCCAGGGCCCCTTTCTGCCAATATCGCAATTCCGGCACGGCGGCTCCGCCGTGCTCCGGCCAGACAGCGGCGATTCGCCTCGGGTTGGCCGTTTTCGGCCACACTTGCATCGGTCCCTGCGATAAAACAAGCCTAGGGCCCTCGGGGGGCCAAAAAATTACGAAAAACCAAAGCTTACCAGCGTCGGCGCTCTCGGGTGCGGCGGCTCTCCGGTGAGGTTCGTGTTTTGGTGATTTGGCTCCGATCAACCTGTGGAGAAAAGAATGGTGATCACGGTGATATAAAAATTGTATCAAACGGAGGCCGGAAAGGGCCTCATCGGAGGCAAAAATCGAGGAGGAGTGCGGCGGTGCCGCTGGGTTTCGGCCGTGTTTTCCGGCCGTTTGGCCGGGATTTTGGCTCTGATTTGGCCATAGGGGAAATCAACGTGGAAAAACGAGCCGGGGGTATGAAATTTACCTCGATCGGCGGTCAGAAAACTCCCCGGTGCGGCGGCGGGTGGCGGCGGCCGGCTCCTCCGGCGTCTGGTTCGTCTTCTCCGGCGAGGGCAGACAGCTAGGGTTTTTGTGGTCAGGTGTGGGGGTTCTATTTATACCCTTTTGCCTTTTAATCACAGTCGTCCATTTTGATTAAATCTGGACCGTCCGTGCGCGATTGAATCTGAGCCGTCCGTGCGCGATTGAATCTGAGCCGTCCGTGCGCGTGCATCTGAGTCGTCCATGCGCTTGCATCTGGGCCATCCGTGCGCACGCTTAATCTGGGCCGTCTGTGCGCGCGGGGACGCATCTGGACCGTCCGATCGCGCGCACGCGGATCGCCCACATGGCCCATTCCCGGATCGACGTGGTCTTGCCACGCGGCAGGTCCTGGTTGGCCAAGGTTGCTGACTGGGTCGCTGACGTGGCTGCTGACGTGGCGCTGACGGAGCAATATTTTTCTAAATTGCGTTTTGACCTCCAATTTCCGATTTTCTTTTCAAAAATACCTCCAGAATCCTAATTCTCACCCATTTTTTCCAAAATCAATTTCAATTAAATCCAAATAATATTTTTACCCAATTTTACAATTATTATTATTTTTATTATTATATTAAATTAAACTAAATAAAATTAAAATTAATAATGATAATAAAAATAATTTAAAAATATTTAGGCGTTACAATATACATATAATCACTTGTATACATAAGTTTATCCATTTCCTGCATATAACAAATACATATTATACAATACACTTCACTTGCAAGGTAACAAATCATAAACAAGTAAATAAAATACACCAAGGACAAGGCTACAACCACTGTCAATCAGACTCAATCCTGCAAATTACACTCAACATTGAGAAACAAGATATCAAGAACATTACAGTTTGTTGACTTAAAAAAGAACGAACCACGACACGGTAGTTTACTTACAAAAATTTTTTTCACTCTCCTTTTGATTCAGTAAGGTTTAGGACTTAACTCATTAGTGTGTTAGTAGAATTATAATGATTAAGTAGGACTTCGTGACGAGTTATGATATTTTTGGGTGAAAAGAACATTTAATGGCGATTAAATTCCCTTATTTCAGATAGTCAGAACAAGTTAAAAAGTTCGACTTAGTATTTTTCATATTCTAAAAATAAAATAATAATAATAATAACTGCAGGGTGAAGAACTAATATCCACCAGTTAACCAAACACAAAATTCATCATTGTAGATCACTTCGCAACAGAAAATTTCTAGCAGAAATGTGGTCATAAATTGTCAGCCTGACTTAATCTTCATGCCAAAAGCAAAAATCCAATTGATAACGCATAAAACTCAGATCATCGGTATATCATTTAGTAAAAGTGTAAACATGTTTCCACCAATGGCTCAACCCTGTAAAACTAGAGGGAATTATAAGGAAATACCAAACTATCCAAGAATTTCATTCATAATAAATTACCAGGACATTCTATAAAAACTAGTCAATGAAAGAATTCTTATCGTTTGTTCTCGAGAGCAGTATAGAGCAGCAGATGAAACAAAAATTACTTGTAAAACCTAAAAGTGTTATCAAATTCAAATCTAACTTTCAAATTTCAACTGAGGAATTATATTACCTATAGATTATGACACACTGAATATGTTTCTCCCTCACTAGCTATGTGATTCACTTTTCCCAATTGTTGATCCGCGGACATCAAACTTCTCTACAGACTCCAATGGAGTGGTTGTCTCATTCCTGACCCTCTTAATCTTGGGACTCAACAGCCCTCTGTGTCCAAACCCATAGAGCTTAAGCACCTGATTATCTGCAAAATTGAAAGCCCTCTCCATGCTCTTCAAGCACCTTTCTACCGCATAATCTGCATAGCTCCCACAAGGCTTGCAACCTACAAAATGAGTGACGAAAGGCCACCTCTCGTCACCAAGTCCTGGATGATACTTCTCTAACATTTCCTCGTACCTATCTACCAATCCTTCCCAGAAACCGTGCAGATAGTACTGATTCTCTACAAACACCTTGTCCATCCATTGATCCTTCTGTGAAAGCAGTAAGTAAATAAGTGCAGACTGATCATCGGCCTCAAAAGCCGGTCTCCCCTTCAAATTTGCCGTCAAAATCCTCCCAGCCTCCTCCCGGATTGGACCTTTTGGCCCCATTGGTGCCCATACATCCCACAAATCCCATGACCATTGACAATTCCTAAATAGAAAACTCCCTGTATTCAAAGCAATCCATGACTTTTGTTCAAATAGCAAGTCAGGATACCCATGAATAACTAAGTTAGAATTACTGTATTTTGCTAATGGGATCTCAAAAACCATATCAGTAAACAGTGCATCACTATCCATCCACCATATCCACTCTACTTCAGGATGAGACAACATCAACTTCCTAATCAATGGCAGCTTTGCCCAATACCCAGCAAGCTCCTTATCCAAGTGCGCCATGTTATACACAATTTCTATCCCATGAATCCTACAGTAATCAATCTTGTTCTTAACCGATTTCAACAAATAATGATCCCCAATCGGGTTGTCACAGGGTTTCGGAGGCGACCCAGTTACGAGGAGAATCCTAGCTTTTCCATTGATAAAATTAGGGAACTCAGGGTTTTGGCTGAGCCATACCTTGCGTTCATCATCCCAATTAGTGATCTTCGGACCCAGCGTGTAGGTGATATTAGGGTCTATCTTGGACTCGGCAAGTTCATCGGGGTCGTTCGGGTCGGAATCCGATCGGATCTCCGCGAGGATCCGGTTGGTCTCCTCTATAAGATTCTGGTTGATTGCGTCGGCGTCGGAGCTCCCTAGGTTTCCGACGCCGATGGTGCCGCGTAGGACGAGAATAGTAACAAATCCGCAGAGAATCGTTATCTTGATGTTGTTGAAAGTCTTACGGATCTGCCTACCACGCGGCATCGCTCCAATTCCACGGCCTCTGGTTTCCGGCAAGCCGCCGCCGGCGCCACCGCCGGACGACGCTCTTTTCTGTGCCGTGAAATTCTCTTGAACCATAACTAGTATGGACTTTCCAACTTCAGTAGGATTTACACAGAAACATCTGGATAGTGGAAATCCCTCTCTCTGTAAATCATAGAATTCAACTAAGCGAAGATCATGAGAAAGAAGAAATGGATTCAGTCGATTTAAGAGTGTGTATATACATATATAAAAATATAAACCTCTCCGTTGTGTGATTGTGGTGTAATGGTGATCAACAGAGTTGTCAGAGAGATGAATGGAAGAGTTAAACCCTAAAATTGGATCAAACGAGGGTTGTTGTTCTTGTAATGGAGAAGGCACTTCCGCCATGAAAATGTTAGTACAGGTAGAAGAGAAACACAGCTAAGCAGCAGTAATTAACCATGTTCATGGTATAAGAACTAAAATAAATATTTATGTTATTATTTTTAAAAAAAAAAATTAATACAAAATTTATTTTGAAAAATCAAACATGGGAATATACAGTGGCTGTAAGTATAAAATGGGAAAATAAAATTTTAAAAAAGTTTTAAGCAATTGAATGATCGAACCTGTAACCTCGAGCTCAAAACTCATTACTGGCTAACTACTCCATCCTCTCGACACTCTCACCGTTCACCACAAAGCTCATAGTACCTTCGCCCGCACCGGTGATTGCCAATCGGCGCTTGATCTCCCACACTACCACCGGTCTTTTCCGCTTGAAGACGCCATTGTTGACCTTCTTTCCGCAGCTCACAGCTATCCGCGAAGCATTTCCTCTCCTTCTCATCTATCTATCGGTGGCCTCTTTAACGTTCCGATCGCTCATCTCAGCCTGCTAAGTGGTTCGTGTGGTCTTTAATTTTTATTTTCTTGGCCAATACTTGTGTGTTTCTAATTAGTCGAGCTTGGAGCTTGTTTCTTATGTCTTACATCTTGTGCTATTAGTAATTACCAAATTATTAGAGAGAGAGAGAGAGAGAGATGTGAATTGGTATGGTGATTTTTTGCTTCTGAAGTTGATTTAACTGAGGAACGTAGAGGAGACGAGTGGAGTTCCTTTTTAGGCTGCGTATGATTTTGATTCCAGAATGTCCGTAATGTGGATATGGTTATAGGCTTTTGAGTATATGTTCTGTCATCTTATCAAATATGTTCTTATGAATATAAACCATCGTTTGGAAATTCATCTTCTATATTTGGAGGTAAAATATGTTTAATTTTCAATTGAGTTTTGCTCCTGAATGGTGTCATAAATCCATGATTCCGAAATCTAATTTAAGCTAAATTTTGATTTGTAGTTATTTTCTAAAATTAGGAGTGACTTAAAGCATTAATGAGAATTGGAACATTAATCAAACAGGAGGTTGGAAGTATCTCCTGGTAAAATCACTTCTCTTGCCAGTCAAGTCTTGGTGTCTTGTGGCTCATCAGCAAAGTAGCAAAGATGTTAGGGCATTATAACTTTAGACTTTCATCATTTTGCAATGATGGTATGCTCCCCCTCAATCGTGAATTGTCAAGCAGAACAGTGATATAGATAACCTGTTCGATGAATTTACTCAAAGAAGATGCATATCTTTCTGAGATCAAAATGGCATGGCATTTTGCCGATAACCATCAATACTCTGAAACCAAAGTATATGCTACCTTCTCCTTGCTTCTCAGTGCAGCCTCATCGAAGTTCATCTATGTTGCAAGAGGTGTCTAACATTGTTTCCACCTCGGTTGGTGGCCTAGACGATCTGGAGTCGAGCCTAAATCAAAGTTCTGTTTCTTTATCATCATCTTTTGTTACGCAAGTAGTTGATTCTTGTAAACATGAAGCGCCCACAAGGAGAATATTGAGGTTTTTCCTGTGGTCGCAAAAGATTTTAGATTCCAGTTTGGAGGACAAGGATTTCAACCATGCAATACGAGTGTTGGCTGAAAAGAAAGACCATACAGCTATGCAGATATTGATATCTGATCTTAGGAAGGAAGGTCGAGTAATGGAGACTCATACTTTCAGTCTTGTAGCCGAGACTTTGGTTAAACTGGGGAGAGAAGACGAGGCATTGGGTATTTTCAAGAATTTGGACAAGTTCAACTGCCCACAAGATAGTTTCACAGTGACTGCCATTGTCAGTGCTCTTTGCGCCAAAGGACATGCTAAGAGAGCAGCAGGAGTTGTTTGGCACCACAAAGATAAGATTTCTGGTGCTGAGCGGTGTATTTACAGAAGTCTTCTTTACAGTTGGTGTGAGCTGGTGAATGTGAAGGAAGCACGAAAAGTCATCCAAGAGATGAAGTCAATGGATGTCATGCCAGATTTATTTTGCTACAACGCATTTCTTAGGTGCCTTTGTAAGAAAAACCTTAAACGAAATCCATCAGGCCTTGTTCCTGAAGCTTTGAATGTGATGATGGAAATGAGGTCGTATAAGATTGCACCCACCTCCATTACTTACAATGTATTGCTTAATTATTTAGTGACTACAAGAAGAGTTAAGGAATCAGTTCGAGTTATTGAACTGATGAAAAAGTCAGGCTGTACTCCGGATTGGATGAGCTATTATCTTGTTGTGAAAGTCTTGTATTTGACAGAGAGGTTCGGTAAAGGCAACAAAATGGTGGATGAAATGATTGAGAACAGACTGGTTCCTGATTGTAAGTTTTACTATGATTTGATTGGTATCCTATGTGGAGTTGAGAGGGTGAATGTGGCTCTTGAGTTGTTTGAGCGGATGAAGAGAAACTCATTAGGTGGCTATGGACCAGTTTATGATGTATTAATACCAAAGCTGTGTATGGCAGGGGAGTTCGAAAAGGGTAGAGAATTGTGGGATGAGGCAATGTCCCTTGGGGTTACTCTTTGTTGTTCAAGTAATGTGCTAGATCCATCAATAACTAGTGTTTTTAAGCCAGTAAGGAAGCAGGAGGAGATTCACCTTTTGGACTCTGCTGTCAGTGAGTCTCAAGTACAAGTCACAAAGAACAATCGAAAGTTTAAGATGAAAATCAGAGGTAAGATGAAAAAGAATTTTGATTTTGTTAAAAGGATGTAATCTCATATTGCTAAGGTTTATATAATTGTTGAACAATTCTTTTTAATACTATTTGGTTTTGAGGTTAGAATCAACAGATTTTAACAGATTCTCTAATTAACATTCATGTATAACACTTCCTAATGATATAGTATTATTATTATGTTGATGAGGTGCTTTATTAGTTGAGCGTGTTGGGCGATGAAGTAGAAAAGTGTAAGTAGCCACTCGGAAATTCCTTGGGATGCCCAAAAATCTAAAACAGAAAAAATGGAGCACACGGAGAGGAGCAAGGCCATCACAATTTGTCAATTTCTCTCTATTTTCAGTTTGCAACAACTCACATGCAATAGAACCTGGTCTCGCAAGCCTCTTCTGGGAAAAACCATTGCTTATTGGGGTTTAAATTTTTCCTTCAATAATTTATTGCTATGAAAATCTTACTGATGATTTTATCCTCATGCCCTGGGGTCCCATCTTCTGGGGAAAACTTCATTCAATTATTGGATACATTTGGGGGAAAGTTATTGCATATATTGGGGTCCCGTTTCGCGCCTTAGTATCAATCGCTTTAACTGAATAAAATAACTACATCAAAATCTATAATTTAAGTTTTAGAATATACAGTAAAATCTATGGGCTTGGGCACATGTAGTTGTTGATAAGAGGATCAGGAATGAGACAACCGCTCTCTGTTGGAGTCTGTAGAGAAGTTTGATGTCCGCCGATCATCGGCTGGGAAAAGTGAATTAAATAGCCAGTGAGTAAGAAATATATTCAGTGTGTCACATAACCTATAGGTAATGTAATTCCTTCAGTTGAAAGGATATTTAAGTTTGATAACAGTTTTACGATTATCAGTAATTTTTGTTTCATCTGCTGTTTTAAACTGCTCTTGAGAACAAACAAAGAGAATTCTTTCACTGACTTGTTTCTTGTTTGTACAATATGTCCTAGTAATTTTTTATGAAGGAAATTCATAACCAGCTCTTGGAATAGTTTGGTCTTTCCTTATAATTCCCTCTAGTTTTACTGGTTTTGAACCATTGGTCTTTCTTTGCAGCAAATATGTTTACTCTTTCAATAAGTGGTATTTAGTTGATCCAGAGTTTTATGTGTTAATAGTGTTACTATTAGTAGAATAATAGAGTAGCAGTTTTCTAGACTTTTAACTAGAATAATAGAATCGGCATTTTTTTTTCTATTGGATTGTTGTTTTTGGTCATAAATACCGAGGCGGGCTGACAATTTTGGACCACATTTCTGCTAGAATTTTTTCTTTGGGAACTGATCTACAGTGATTAATTTTATGTTTGGGAACTGGTGGATATTAAAGTCGTACATATTATAACTGGTTGATGCCACAACAAAGTTGGAACCAGTGCTTCACCCTGCAGGTATCTAACTCAATAAACTATAATTTTGGTGATTTCTTGTTTCTCAATATCTGAGTATATTTTTCCTAACTGAATCCGGTTGATAGTGGTGGTAGCCTTGTTCTAGTGTATTTTATTTACTTGCTTATGATTTGTTACACTTCTACTGAAGTGACATAACCCTTACTATATCATGCTTCACTTGATAGTTTGAAGGTTATGTATGCAGTCTCTTGTTCTTTCTCTTTTCTGCTCGAGATATGTAGAGTAGCAGTAAGCTCAGCTGCTATTTGTGCATGCCACTACGTAATTCTGTTGTTACTAGGTAGGTATGGGGGCAGGCGGGCTTGTCCATCTCGATCTAAGGAAGCGAAGGTATGACTGTTTGTGGATCGTTATTATAAAAGAACAGGTAGAAAGTTTGCATTGGTAGTTCCATATATGTTATATGAAGTAAATGGATGACATTATGCATACAAGTAAACTTGATTCGTATATATTATCCATTTCAGTTTAGGGAAGGCAAGGCATGACTGTTTGTGGATTGTCATTATAAAAGAACGGGTAGAAAGTGTGCGTTGGCGACTGTATATACGTTATATAAGTCAATGGGTAATATTATGCATACAAGTGAGTAATTTGTATATATTGTTCAAGTCATCAAAGTGTAATTAGGTGAAATTGAATGTGGATGGAAGTGAATGGAAACTTCAATAATGGGATTTTTATTGTTTTCACTAGGCCCCCCCTGGCAGTAGAAAAGTTCTGAAGAGGGATTGGCTTCAGTCCACATAACCTTTTCAATGGGAAGGTAAGTAAGCAAAACATTTGCATTTTCTTATCACTTATTCCTTTTGAGCAGAATATAATACGTATGATCTTGCGTTAGGCAAATGTCAAAATTGAGAGAATTCTAATTTGAACAAGAACATAAATAATCACTTGGTTGAAACCAGCTCAAAATGTGATATATATATATATATATATGATCCTTTACTAGGCAAATGTTGAAATTGAGATCTCTAACTTAAACAAAAACACAGATGATCATTGGGTTAAAATTAGCTCAGATGTAATATATATGATTCTTATGCTAGGTAATGTCGAAGTTGAGATCTCTAAACTTCAACGCAAACATAGATGATCGTGGGTCAAAACCAGCTCAACATGTAATATATGTGATTCTTGTACTAGGCAAATGTCAAAATTGAAATCTCTAACTTGAACGAGAACATAGATGATCGCTTGGTTCAAAACCCGTTATTCTTTATCATCATTTCACATTAAATTCAGTGATTAACAAATTAAATATAACAAAAACATTGTTCAAAGCATTATTAGGAACCAAAAAACTTAATTAGGATTAGAAGTAAAGAAGGTAGCCAACATCCTCCTGTCAAGAGATGTTCATTTAGCAGGAGGGAGAATGCCAAGAAGAAAGGAAGATATCATAGTGAGGGATCGCTCAGGTTGGTAACTTGGAACCTCATGACCTGCTCCTCTCACTGTTACAAAAGTTAGTCCTTCATAATCCACAACGTATCCACCAACCTGTTTTTTTCAATTTAAATTTTAATTATATAAAATAAAATTAAATAAAAACTTAAGAAAATTAAACTAAATATAATGTAAAAAAAGTATTTAATTATAGCGTTATGGTGTGTGTATATATATATATATATATATATATAATTACAAACCTCTTGGCTGGTGTACCAGGGGCGCCAAGCAGCCTTTATGGGAAGGTTGAGAGTATTTATGGAGTATCTAGACGAAGTAACTGGTACTACAGAATCTGTATCACCACTGCAATGATAATTACACGTTATTAATTCTATATACCCAAATTAGATATATAGTACACACACACATATATATTTATGTTTATATATATATATATATGATTTATAGTTAAATTACCTGTATACCCAGACTCTGATATTGTTTGCCATAAGATACTTGATAATGGGGAGGATGGTTGTTGGACTATCATTCCAATAAAAGCGTCTGCAAAATTACACCCAAAAAATCAATTTTTTTGTTAAATCTTTCTATCTTATCTTTTGTTTCTTCTATAATTAACTTGGAAACTTCTGTGTAATATATATATATGTATATATATACCTGCAAAAGGTATATATATATATATATATATGTACCTGCAAAATGTCCAATATGTGCTTTTTGCATGCAAAGCTTTCTGCACCTCTGCAGTATTCAGGTAGTTGTATACATAGTCCGGGGAGCATGGATCAAAGTTATCAACCTGATTAATCACCTCCAGAAGAGGTTAATTATATATATATATATGTGTGTGTGTGTGTATATATATATGAATTAGAGCATAGTATATGTGTGTATATACATATATATATGTGTATATACTTACAGATCCGGGTGAAGAGGAATTAGAGGGGGATGAAAGACATAGAGGAGCATATATATTGTAATAATCAATATTGCCTTCCTCTATATCAGACTGGTATAAGAACTGAAAGCATTTGTCAGAAATGTTCCAAGTGAGAAAATCACAGTTCAACAAGATGCCTCTGTGTGTTTCATCTGAATTCAAAGCATGACTCCATATATAATCATATACTCCTAGTAAACTTGTGGTGTCATCAATCCATGCATTCCCAATCTGCTCATTAACTTTCCACAAATTAGCATATCATACATACATATATATATATAAACACAGACATATATATATATATATACAAACTATTAATTCAATTAGAATAAAAACATCACCCAAGTACTAGATTTTTTTAGAGAACATTAATTTGTTGTATAATTATTGGTACAAATTTCACTTTGATACCTTGTGATTCGAAGTTTTTTAATGTAGTTTTTTCATGTTACAAAATGTGAGTTTGAATGAATTACGAAATAGTGAGTTGTTAAAAACTATAATATCTCAAATTGAAGAATTTCAAATCATAACTAGGTTATTTTTGTAAGAAAACGACCGAATCTTGTAATTATATATTTTTACGTGGTGTATAATCTTTGATCAATGGTGTATGGTTTTGAGAATTTCAAATCATAACCGGGTTATTTTTGTAAGAAAATGACCGAGTCATATAATTATATGCTTTTATGGTGTCGTGTAGTGTATAATCTTTGATCAATTGTGTATAATTTGTTAGGGATTAACTCGGTTACTACGGGTTTGGTGAAGGAGAAGGTAGATATAGTCTTCGGGTTGGGGGGAAGGTGTAAAAAAAGAGTAATAGAAAAGTTTTTGAGGGTGTTGAGAGTGATCTCTCGAAACTTAGGGACAAATGGTTACATTATTTTACATCTTTATTTTCGAGTCACGACGTTTACAAGGTGAAGAATTTTAGGTATATCGTTCATAATCTAACATAACTATAAATATTTTATAAATGGGTTATACTTTTTTTGATACTATAATGTAATATAATAGTAATATATATACCGGTTGGAGGAGAGAATATATAGATATACCGCAATGCCTTTGAGATTGATGAGAGTTTGATTGGCATTTTTATTGTTGAGAAGTATAGTATAGGCCAATTGTGGTACATAGTGGCCGGCATAACTCTCTCCAGTTATATAGAAATCTCTGGACTTGTACTGTGGAAATCTCTCAAGCCAGTTGATAAGAAAAATGTAAGCATCATTTGCGGTGCTTGCATCGCCTGTCTGATTATAAACCGATGATGTATTTGAATAAGAAAACCCTACTCCTGCCGGTGATTCCAAGAATATCACATTTGCCACTGCATTTTATTACGTAATAAAATTACATCAGTCGAAACAAAAATAACGACAAGATAAATCTTTTGAAGAAGTTGTAAAATTCATTCCGAGTAATTAAATTATCGATTTTACCATTGTTCCATGCATATTTGTTTCGGAAAAGAGTTTTTCCGTCGCTATTTACTCGAAACGGTCCCAATTCAGTCATCGCTCCGTACCCAAATGAAGAACATCCGGGTCCTACATTACCCATCAAGAATCAAAGTATTTGTGACCCTTTTATGTAATAATTAACAAGTGCATAAGTTGAGAAGCAATGGATAAATATAGTGTAATATGTGTAGGTACCTCCATTGAGCCATAAGACCAAAGGGTTAGTGGAAGAGTTGTTTGGGGACTCAGCGAAGTAGTAGAAAAGTGCTTTTCCAGCTTTGTCATCCACAGTAACATACCCTGCATAATGATCAAAATCTACTCCACTCACCGGCTGCCCCGGTAACACGGTGATCTTGTCGGAGGCCATGGATCCCGGTTGAACTTCGATGTAAGGATCAATCTTCATCATCGTCTCCGATTCTTCCCATGAATTACCACCACCTATAAGTTTTTCCGATAGATTTTGGGTCGTTGTCTTTCTTCTTGTCTCCAACCACCTTCGGAGAACAAAGAATTAATGACAAACCATTACTTAATTTAATAGTTAAAAAATTCAATCGTTTTAATACAATAGTTGTATTATACTCTATTACGATTGATGTATCGATTAGTAAATATAAATTTTTATTTTTTAAAAAAATTATTTTTAATTATCGGAGCGTATTAAAAAATATTTTTAAATTTCACAATAACCTTTACTTATAAATTCTAAAGAATATATAATAATATTAAGATAACACTTAATTATTCTGTATGTATCACCTTCCCAGGCTTTCTCCCTGATTGACACCATGGCGGCTGCGGCCCTCGCTGGCACCAAAACTAAGCGTTGCAGAGGTAACGAGCAACAGCAGCCATGGCAGAAATGTTGTTGCAGCATGGAGCTTCATCTTGATTATGCCTGCAGCTTGTACGTCCATGTAAGTGTGCGTAACTGTTGTTTATATAGAATCTGCCCAGGCGATAACTTTAAGGCAAGTAGTTGAATATATATATATATATGTACGTGTATGTATTTGTGTGTGTATATATATATATGTATATGTATATATACACTATTACGTATGAACAAATTCAGACGGAGCCGGCTGTTTATTTCTTTCTCGGTTTGTATCAAGTAGTGTTACAATTAATGCTCGAGTCTCCTTGCATAGTAATCATCACATTTGTTTTTAGTTTCCGGCTTCCTTCAAAACGACGGAGAATGAAGTCGTTTTAATAATAGTTTTATTATGGTCCAAGCACAGTACAAAAATTTTTAAGTCCAAAACTTACACCTTTTGTGTTGTATGGTTTAGTATCATTTTATTTTTTTCTCTCTCTCTATATATATATATATGTATGTATATGAAGAATCTCTAGGTAAGAAAACAAAGAGAAAATCTAAGTAAGTAAGTTAGCTTGAATCGACAAAATCAAAAGTCTAATGGAGTTGGAAAGGAAATATATATGATTGCAGTTGCTTATAGTGGGTAATTTATAAGTTTATATACAATGTGAGTTATACCCATTTTAATTATATGTATATACTCAATAATTAAGTGACATTTACATATTCATAATATCACAGTTAATAACAAAATAATCTTTTAATGAAATACTAATTACTAACAATTTGAGTTTATTATACAGTGTAAGTTGGAATTCAAGAAATTGATATAAAATTTTTGGTCCGATTTCGAGAACATTTGGTCTCTCCTAACTATTATCTGGATATACCAAGAAAAATATACGGTCTAATAAGATTATTACGACATATTTATTCATGGGTGGAGCAAGTTCTTCTATTTTGCTTCACGGTTTCTCTTGATTCATTCGGAAAAGAGATTGAGCTTCAGAAATAGTGAATGATTATATCAATACACAAATGTATAACTCTCCAAGAATTTCAATTGCGCTTATATTCATCACTTTAGGAATTGGGTTCAAGCTTTCCGCCCGTCCCTTCTCATTAATGGACTCCTGACATATACCAAAGAATACGATTCGTTTGATAAATTCG